ATATTTGGATCCCAAGGAAACAGGAGTTTACTGTGGTTTATATATCAGGCTGATTGTACGTGATAATTATTATAATTGGCAATGTTTCTTCCAAAGATTGAATTTTTGCTAAGTTTTTTGTATGTTATCACTAGCTTGGATTTCTCCTTTCTCTGCCTTTCCTTTCTGTTATCACCAGAAGGAATTTTTTAAACATCTTAAAAATAATTCTTTCACGGTAAGTCACCCAGAATACAGTCATTTCCTCTAGTTTCAAACATAAAGGGGAACCTGGCTCAGACAAGAATGATCCTTGCTGCACGTCCACTAGCTCATTGTGTTCTCCTTTTTATTCTGAGAGGCCCCAGCTCAGTTTACAAGGTTAAGGGCTACAATGTGTGTTCACAACAGAGCTAATCCTGCTTCAATAAATACAGATGTACAATTCTTTTTTGAACATGCCTTCAAAGTGGAGATCTTTGGCCATGAGCTCCTCTTTGACATCATCTAGTGCCCACTGGTGATCCATTAGCTCCAAAACTTTCCACTTTGCTTTGAAAGCTCTGTTGCTGTCTGTGGGCATGGCAGTGGCTGCTCTAGTCATTTGTGCCTGCATTCTTCTTCTTCTCTTTCTCCTTCTCCTTCTTTTTTTTTATTATTAGCGGTAACACGTAATCAGTTTATTATTGTTACTTATTTGTGCCTGAATTATTTTTGATTGGTCATTGGCATTATCTTGGCCCAGAAGTAGAGAGTAAATGCTCTAAAACCCAAATGCTTAGTAGAAGCACCATGATGTGGAATTCACCAGGATGCAGATAACGTGAATAGTTCAGTTCTTTACTGTAGCATAGGCTTAAAACAGGATCAGTGGACAGGGAGCCTGGGTGGTTCAGTTGGTTAAGCGTCCAACTTCACCTCAGGTCATGATCTCACAGTTCATGAGTTTGAGCCCTGCATCAGGCTTTGTGCTGACAGCTCAGAACCTGGAGCCTGCTTTGGATTCTGTGTCTCCCTCTCTCTCTCCCCGTCCCCTGCTCACGCTTTATCTCTCTCTCTCAAAAAAAAAAAAACAAAAAAACAAAGAAACACAAGGTCAGTGGAAATAGGTCTTTGGTTGTAACAAAGCCTAAGCATGTCTGTCATGTTTATCCATTCACCACTAAGAATCATTGGGAGAACATTTGTTAAATTCCCTTTGACCATGTTTGTGAGCATAGTGGGATCATTCGTAGGAGAAGGTAGTACTATTTTCCCTTTAGTTTTTTTGAAAAATCCTTACTCTGGGTGGTTAGAAGTAGTATTTTCATGTCAGAAGGACTGTTTGGGAATATAATTTTCATCTCTGAGGATTATGCTTTGAATTAGGACTTCAGCTGTCAAATACTTGGTCCTGGGTGAGCTTCTTTTTTTTGTTTTTATTCTTTTATTAAGAAAATTTTTTAATTTTTTTTTTTTTTTTTAGAGAAAGACAGAGTACTAGTGAGAGATGGGCAGAGAGAGAGGGATACACAGAATCCGAAACAGGCTCCAGGCTCCTAGCTGTCAGCACAGAGCCTGATGTGGGGCTTGAACTCACAAACTGTGAGATCATGATCTGAGTTGAAGTTGGATGCTTAACCAACTGAGTCACCCAGGTGCCCCTCTCATTTTTAAAAACAATTTTTTTAATGTTTTTATTTATTTTTGAGAGAGAATGAGACAGAGTACTAGTGAGGGATGGGCGGAGAGAGAGGGAGATGCACAATCTGAAGCAGGCCCCAGGCTCCTAGCTGTCAGCACAGAGCCCGATGGAGGGCTCGAACTCTTCTGGGTGAGCTTCTTGTCACTTTGGGGCTGGATGGACACATAGTGGTGGATCATGGCCACAGGGAGGGTGATGATGAACATGGGTAGGACCACCCAGAGCCATCCAGAGCCGTGGTGCCCGCCATCTTTTGGTTGGTTGGTTGGTTTGTTTGTTTTTAAGATACCATAAGATACTATTTTTAAGTAATCTCCACACCCAACATGGGGCTTGAACTCAGAGATCAAGAGTCTCATACTCTACCAACTGAGCCAGCTGGGTGTCTCTCCTGCCATCTTTATTGAGAGCCAGTCTGTTGGGGTTGCAGGCCAGACCCCGAACCTGCACGTTACCTTGGCTCAGGACTTGCCTGGGTTGTGCTGTGACCCCAGGCCTAGTGCACTGCCTCCAGCTGGCCTGCCATTTGATTTTAAATATTATCTGAAGTTTATAGAGTTCTAAAACAGTAACAAAGGTTCCTTGAAATCTTTTGCTTGTTCTAAACCATGTGTATTAAGATCACATATTGGAGTGAGAGGCACTAAACCTAGGGTTGTTTTTTGTTTGTTTGTTTGTTTGTTTGTTTGTTTTTACCTCTCCAACCTTCCTTGCCTCCATGAAAGAAAGGTTATAAGACAGTATATACTGGATGAATTTATCTTTATCACTGCCTACTGTATCAAATAAGTACTCAGTAAAAATTGTAGTGTAGTGATTAAAATGATCGAATATACAGGAGAGGGGCGCTTGAGTGGTTCAGTCAGTTAAGCATCTGACTTCAGCTCAGGTCATGATCTCACGGTTCGTGAGTTCGAGTCCTGCGTCCAGCTCTGGGCCGACAGCTCAGAGCCTGGAGCCCACTTCAGATTCGGTGTCTTCCTCTGTCTGCCCCTCCGCTGCTTGCACTCTGTCTCTTGCATTGTCTCAAAAAATAAACGAACATTTAAAAAATTAAAATGAAAATAAAAGAATATACAGGAGAAACAATGGATATGTATTATATATACATATTTAAGTGTGGCACTTTTTCTTATTTATTTATAAGTGATGAGAGATTGGTGAAAGTGAAGACTTTGTCGCTCTAGAAAGAGCTGTGCAGAAAGCTGTGCAGGAATTCGTAAATTCAACCACTTCCTGAAATATCTCAAGCTGCTAAGAAATTTTGTCATCCTTTTGCTCCGAAAGGCAACATAATAGTTGGGATGTGTCATAGGGAAAGACCGTCTTAACACAGTTGGGGTATATAGGGCACATTGGGACACAATTCCAAAGCTAATGGCTTACTACAGCTGAGAGCATTCAGTTGTAATGACAGGTGAGTGGTGTCTTTCTCAGTCTTGCTTTAAAACAGCTTGCTTATGCACTGGCATGGGGGACCCACTCACTGGATGGAGATCTTTTATGAGACAAAAATAGAAGTTATCCTTGTCCTCAGGGAGCTCATAGGCAAGTGACTTTGGGAGATTATACTTAGTTGAATTCATGTTTAAAATAAGGATGATAATACTCCTGCTTAAAAGGTTGTTATAAAAAGTAACTACTTAAAAACATTACTTGATATTTAAAAAATACAAATTTAGACATGTCATAAATGTAAATTCTAAATTTGCTCATTGTAAGTAAATGTTTATTGAACGTTTAAGGCAGGGACTGTGTTAAATGTAATTTTAAAATATTTTCTCGACAGATAGTACTTAATTTGGTAAAAGAATTTCAAAAAGGTGTACAGTGAAGTCTTCCTTCCACCTCGTCTCCTGGCTCCCAGGCTCTTTTCATTGTTTTCAGAGAGATTTTTTTTTTCAATTTCTTTTTTTTTTTTACCTTTATTTATTTTTGAGACAGAGACAGAGCATGAACGGGGGAGGGTCAGAGAGAGAGGAGGGAGACACAGAACCTGAAACAGGCTCCATACTCTGAGCTGTCAGCACAGAGCCCAACGCGGGGCTCGAACTCACCGGCCGCGAGATCATGACCCGAACTGAAGTCGGATCCCTAACTGACTGAGCCACCCAGGCACCCCAAGATTTCTTTGTTTTGAAATAGTCTCTACACCTACCACAGGCTCCAGCTCACCACCCTGAGATCAAGAGTTGCACTTTCTAAGACTAAGCCAGACCGGTGCCCCTGTTTTCAGAGAGATTTTATGTGTATGTACACGTGTATGTATCTGTTTTTTAGAGTCACAGATGGTAGCGTATTATACAAACTGTACCTTTCTCTGAGTACAAAGTATTTCATGTCCTGATCTGATTTGATACAATAATAATTAAGATACCTACTCATATTATCTCCATTTTATAAACAAGGAAACAAAGACATCTCAATTTCTTAGTAACTTGTCCAGGGTTGTATAGCTTGGAAGTACCTCCTTGGTACAGAGGCAGTTATTTTGGTACCACTTATTTATTTATTTATTTATTTATTTATTTATTTATTTATTTAAATTTTTTTTTCAACGTTTATTTATTTTTGGGACAGAGAGAGACAGAGCATGAACGGGGGAGGGACAGAGAGAGAGGGAGACACAGAATCGGAAACAGGCTCCAGGCTCTGAGCCATCAGCCCAGAGCCCGACGCGGGGCTCGAACTCACGGACCGCGAGATCGTGACCTGGCTGAAGTCGGACGCTTAACCGACTGCGCCACCCAGGCACCCTGGTACCACTTATTTAACTTATTATTTATTTATTTTGGAAATGTAAAAAAATTTTAATTTTAATTTTTAAAAATTGTTTATTTGAGAGAGCGAGTGTGTGAGCAAGGGAGAGGAGACAGAGGGAGAATAAAGAATTCCGTACTTTGACCAGAGTGTCCATTCAAGTTTCTGCAGCCGTGTTGATAATGTTGGCAGAAAGAATCCAGCCAGGAGCACATGTTGTTCCTCATTGTCCTATCTTGCCAGCCTCCTTCAATCCAGAACTGTTCTTTGGTCTTTCCTTAGCTTTTGTGACCTTGTTATTTTGGGTGAAGACAGGCCACTCCTTTTGTAGACTCTCAGTTTGCAACTGTCCTAGGTTTCCTCACAATTCTACCAATTTTAGATACTTTTGGTATAAATATCACAGAAGTCATGTTTCGTTTTTCCCATTGCATCCTATCAGGTGGCATTCAATGTCAATTTGTCCCCTTATTCCCATTGAGGGAAGAAAAGAGAAAAGAGCGGAAGAGGGGAAAGTAACTTCTATTAGCTTGCTTTTCAGAGGGCACTCTATTCAGCAAATATCTTTTCCTTGTAGCATCCTGGGGGAGAAGAGGTCCTAATGGAACAAGCTGGTGCAGATGCAAGTGAAAGCTTTGAGGACGTAGGCCACTCCTCTGATGCCAGAGAAATGCTCAAGCAGTACTATATCGGTGATGTGCATCCGGTAAGAACTAACTGAACTGGGAGAAGAAGCTGCTGACTAGCCACAAAACACAAGGAGAGGGATGAATTAATAAAATGGAAAATCAACCCAGCTGTCAGGCTACATATTCCCCCAAATCATTTGGCCTACTGAGCTAAGATACAGCTTCTTGTATGTAAAACTACACATGTAGTATCTAAAAAGTTAAGAGAACTGGTTTTGGATTTTTTGTTTTTTTGATTGATTTTTATAATATCATTAATAACATCTCTTTCTAAAATAATGGTTTGATTGTTCTTGGCAATTTCTTGCAAAAGGTGGTAACTATGAACATTCGAACAAGGCACCCTGGTAGGTTCATAGTTGGGAGTGTGGGGGCAAATACCCTTCCACAGACCTTGACGTCCCTCAGAGAATTCTCTACTACCAGAATGTAGTCTTCATGTTCTAAGGTTAGAGACAAGTATATTGTGAGATATGCCTTTGGATACGTCTTAAAATATTATTTGTTTTCCTTTTTTAACAGAATGACCTTAAACCTGAAAGTGGTAGCAAGGTAAGAAAAAATCATCTGTTTCTCTCATGTGTTTCAAGTGTTTATATTTCTGTTTACTCAGGTAGAATGTTTTTTGTTTTTTGGTTTTTTTTAATTATCTTAACAAGGGAAGTGTTCCTTTTTTTCCTAAGCAAAAATCCTACTTTTCAGGAGCTTGGACTCAGTGCCATCTCAGGAAAAAAAGAATAGCTGAGTCTTGAACAGTAGGAAACATTTTGTTCATGCTTGTACTTGCTTTAAAAAAAAAAAAAAAAGGAAATTCTAAAGCCATGCTCTGTACGGTTTTGAAGGAAATTAGTTTATGGGTTCAGTTGTAGAAAAGTATTTCTTATTCTTACATTAAATACTGTGAGAATAATTCTGTGTTGGGAAAATAACTGGAAAGTTGATTTTCACTTGAAAGTCTTTGAAGGAGTTACAGACTGGAGTAATTACTAGAATGGGCCTTTCTGTCCCTATTACCCAGATTTAATCCTTGTGTCATGCAGTTTCAAATAGGCCTACATCCATTTCATTTACTCCGTGATACAGCAAAAACAAAAGATTAAATATTTGAAAACCTTAATGTGCGCTGCAGGACCTACCAGGAACAAAATCTGGAAGCCATTTTGCTTCCCACAAGCAGGGCTGTTCATTTCCTTGACTGCGTCACACATTTCTTGACTTCCGTCTGTTGCCCTCCCACTTAAAGGGACAGCAGTTTAGTTGCCACCTAGAACATCATGGAGGCAGCGCTCCTTCCCCTTTTCCTTCTGCTAGCTTCTTGCTTCCCTTTCCTCACTGGCCTGGAATCACTGAACACGTTTGGTACGGCACTTGAAGTTGGCCTAGACACAGGAATTCTTTCAACTCGAGAGACTGCTTGACAGTGTCTGCCATCTGTTGCTCTGCCATCCAAAGTGTCTGTGGAAATTAACTCTTCCGTCTTGCTATACTCTGCTACTCTGAACTGGTGAATTGTTTATGAAGGGAGACGAAAGCGGTTTTTTAAATGCTACGTGAGCACTGGGGGTTGGTTTGTCTTCCCCTCATAATGAAGGTGAAGATGGAGCTATGCATAGCCTTGCTGAGTATCTTGAACACGTCTGGAAAACATTGGTCTCAGTTACAGTAAACATTTATTTCAGGGGATATTCCCATTTGTATAAGAGATGCACCATGTATCTGGGAGCCATCACCCACTTTTACACAACAGTCATGAGAGCACCCTTTATTAAAGCAATAGAAAAATTGTGGAATTATAATGTCTGAAATTCTACAAATTGCTTCTTGTTGCTGTTTTTCTTCCTTGCTAGTTCAGTATGTGATTAGGGATCATTCTTAGCAATGGAGAGCGGTGTTTTTCAAATTCTGTCCGGTGGGCCATCTGTGTTCGAATCCCTGGGCATGTGTCTGAAATGTCTATTTTCTGGGCTCCCGCTACTACTGATTCATAATCTCTGGAGGTGGGACTTGGGAATTTGCACTTAAAGTAACCCAGGTAGCCAAGCACCAGACTTCTTGCTGAAAGATATGCCCATCTTTTCATTTGAAAAGTTTGGGAACTTGAATTCTCTTCTCTAGAAAGCACTGTCTGCCTTTTGTAGGCCAAAGAATTAATTAGAGATGTCTCAGCTAAATTAAAACTGTTGAGCCTTGGACTTTTTTGTAAGAAATACAGAAAAAGAAATCCTTTTAGCTCACTGAATTCTATAATAATTTAGAAGTTTCCAAATGTAGTTTGGCCCCTGGCTCGTATAAACAGTGAGTGACTAAAGGCAGTATTTTCAAAGCTCTGTTTTTCGTTGTCTCTTGTACCCAAAGGACAGTCTCCATTAAGTAGAGAGTAGGTTATTGAGTGTTTTCTGTCACACTGCTGTAGTTCAGGCAGATCGGGCAAGGAAAACCTTTGGGGAAAATTTCAAGACCACACATAGGTTTTTATAGAGCTATATAGTCCAACCTGATTTCAGTTCCAGGAAGACATTCCTGGTCCCTCAGATTTATTTCTTACAAATTAAATAGGCACTTCTGTGTCTAAGATGTAGATGTCTCTTTTCTTAGTTTTTCTGTACTCCCCATGAAGAGAAGGATGTAAAATTCATTTCATTAATACTTTCTTTTGGTTAAGGGTTTCTGAACCTCTACAAAGAAGTGATTTTTTTTTTTTTTTTAAGCCTAATTAAAAGATGTCTTCTGCCTTAGGAGACAAAGGTTTCATTTCCTTTCTCTTTCTTTTCCTTTCCTTCATTTTTCCACTTCTCTTCTCCCCCCAAAGTTTCCCATCTCTTCCCTCCCTGAAACTATCACCTCCAGCCTCCCCCTCAGCAAAACTAAAAAAAAAAAAAAAAAAAAAGCCACCCAGAATGTACTATTACACAATCTAAATCTGGAACCTTTCCTCAGTTTTTTGCAAACTGCCTTTCATACTGTTTTTGCTTTAACATAGGTAAATAATTGATGCTCACCATTGTTTTCTTGTTAGGTTGATAATGCCCGAGGTCCATGGCCCTGAAATAGTACAATACTAAAATGTAAAAGCTTAGAAACTACAAATCTGGGGACAGATATTTTTCTCACCTGTTTCAGTCTTCAGATAACAAACCAGACTTAAAAACCTTTCTGTCTCTTTGAATCTCTTCCTCCCTGGATTAGTCCCCATGCTGCAAGCCGTCAGTCTTCTATTTCTACTTGCGTTAACGTTTTTCTGGTATGCTTTGGGTTATAGAAACGCACCTTAGAAGTGCGTTGAGTTTTCTGTGCCATTTGGCCTGCCCGTCTCCTGCGCTTCAAGAAACCTAGGCACATCTGTGGTCAGTCATGTCTCCCTTTGGATTATGCGTTCACTGGTGGGGTAGCTGTTTGATGTGCCACCAGTTCAGGAGATGCAGTACACACGAACACGAACCTGACGAAAGAAGTCGGTACCATTTCATTGATTTATTCCATAGATGTTATCTGGGCAACAGTTCAGCTGCTTCAGATATCATTGAAGTGAATAGATTCAATACCTGGACCATTTTCCATTTAAATTGTTGAATGGGTAGTACATGATGGTACATAGTGAAAAATTGAAATAGTGCAAAAAGGTATACTTTTTATGTATACATTATGTATGTATGTATATAAAATGACTCCCTTCCATCTCCAGCTCTCAGTCTCCGAGCTCCCTTCCCCAGAGGTAGTCAGCTACCATTTTCTTGTTTACTCTTCCAAAGAGACTCTGTGCATTCATAAATATAAACAGATGGACGGACGGATCCGTCCATTGATTGATCAGTTGATAGGCAGACCAATCATTCCTTCCTTTAAAAAAAAATCTTGCTCTGTACCTTCTTTTTACTTAAAAATTTTATTGTGGTTGATTTTTCTTTATCGATATTCCATGGACAAAAATTTCAGTAAGATGGCATTTGCCGTAATAGGATTTGATGTATTTTTTTAAACAAATAATATCATCTCTATAAAGGCTTAACATGTTATTTAAACTTCATTTTTTAACTTAGGAAGTTTAACTTTTATGTTAGAAGCAATCTATAAGTTGCATTTAAAGGCAAATCTATTTTTTTACTCCTGATGCTACTGACTTTTGTTATACAACATTTTTCTCTTACATGCATATAGCATTCAGTTTACTTTCTCTTTTATGGAAGAGAATCTAAAAAGAATACATTGTTTGTAATTATGTAATGTAGTTACTTGGTTGCATAGTACCAAAAATTTCCTTGTAAGAATTGTTTAATATTCCTGTCATATCTACAACCTAATTTGTTAAAGTTTGGAATGGTTATGCCGATGCCCTTTAGATTACTCTTTACCAAATAATTTTGTAGGGTTGTTTCATTGTTCTGATTTCATCTAGCATTTGTTTTTTGTAACGTAATATTTTGAAATAAAGCATAGAATGTAATGGCAAAAGCCCTCTTGAAAGGCAAAATTCCCATTGCTGAGGCATCTCAAGGATTAATGCCTTCTCCTCATGACACTTTATTTAGAAATAATGTGTAGTTTTGCAAGAGAAGGTGTTAGGAGGACAAGGTAACATCGTTTTCAAATCAGCCCTCTAGTATAACAAGTTTTTCACTTCTTTGGTCCCAGTAGAAATTACTCTATGAATGTCCTATATGTGTTATCACAGTGGGCTCTTGAGACGGTTCTACAGAAATTTGTCTGAAGGGTGTTTTTCATTTTTGAATTTTGCCCCCATATGCGGGGAAATATTTTTTACTTGACTGGACTGCCTCTAGGGATGGTACATACTTTATAAGACCGTAATTGTTAATACATTGGAGCTTTTGAGAAGGCTGTCCTCAAGATCCACACGTGGCCATAGGAGGGACTATAAAATGTTAAAATCATGTATTTCAACAAACTTTTTGGGTTTTAAGAAACTAATAGTAAAATTCATATTGCGGCCAAAAGTTCCAAAATTGTTTTTCATAAGTTGCTGGCTACATAGCTACCAAAGTGTTCTAAATAAAAAGCTGTATTCAACCACCCAGATACTCATTAGCTTTACCGAAGGTGTCATGTGGTTTAAAATCCACTCTTTCCAATTTTAAAACTTGGAATCCTCTTGGAATAGCAAGCATCCAATTTAAGAATTAAAACATAAGCTCCTTATATACCTTGCAATAGATTTCCCTTCCATTTAAAATCTAAATATGAACTATTGAGGTTGAAGGTACATTTTATAAATGCCCTATCTATACATACATACATACATACATACATACATACATACATACATATGTATGTATGTATGTATTTTAATGCATCATAATCCTAATTCTGGTGTATTGTTTCCAATATTTATGTCCTGGTGACAGAGTACACTATTCCTTAAGCATGTATTGTCTCATGTTTCATAAACAGTTTTCATAGTGAAACCACGCCCACTGACCCCCAAATAAATCCTTTCCCATATGTTTGCCAATTATGACATTTCTTTGTCATTCTCTTAACCATATCAAAAAAAGTCCATACTTAGGGCACAGTGTCTCTTGGAAGAGTATCTAGAAAAATATATCTTTATATACCTGGTGTAAGATAAGAAAAGTCTACATGTAGGCCATGCTCTGTCAGTCTTTCCAGACATGGGAGAATAGTGTTTCCTTCTCTCTAACCTTTAGAAGGCTGCTAGTGTAAATTTTTTTTTTCTTCTGCTATTGTAGATTTTGCTAAAATACCCTTGGGTTAGAAAATTGTGTTAAGTCAATTAAATATGGCTTTAGAATTAAAATTGATCTGGTCCGAGCCTTTCATTTTGTAAGTGAGGAAACTGATTTAGCATTGAACTTGAAGGCAGTAGACAGTTTCAGTTATGAGTAGCTTTATTAAAAGGCTACTCAGATATCATGAAATATTCCCTTTTATCCTACAGAGTCCTTGTTTAGTTAGTTAGTTAGTTAGTTAGTTAGTTAGTTTGTGGAATTAAAGCCTTAATGAACCTTGACGTTTAGGAACCAGTTTATTTAAATAGTTCTTTTCTGTTAATTTTAAACTAAAATCAGAGTAGACTGAAAATAATTTAGTGGTTTGGAAGTGTATTCCAGAAACATGCATATTAATTACTTGGTAAGGCTTTTGGTAGAAGAACTCTGGATTCGATCTGCTCTGTTACAACTAAAATCAGAGTATTGCAATTGTAGCTTTCCATGCCAAAGACTGAGCAGTCCCCGTTCTCCTGACTAAGAATCTTGCATGTAAATTAAAATGTGGGCAAGAACGTAACCAGCCAGATATGTCTGAATACACAAAGGGAGAAGTTAAAGTCCATCATAAACTATGGGAATCTCATTTAAGCGTCCATTAGGTTTAGCACCGAGCTTTGGAGTAGAAATGGGAATTGGGAAACAGCATGGAGAGAATGGTGGCGTGGGGGTGAAGGAAGGTTTTGTGTTAACAGAACCTTTTCTTTTTAATTTTGTTAAATTAAAAATAACTTATTTGGCTTCTTTCCGAACTTGGCTGAGGTACTTGGCTTCTAAGAGCAGTGCCTTAAACAGTTCTTTCATTGTAGTTGATTAAAAGCGGAGTCACTGTAGTTTGACATTTACTTGGCTGTCAGAATCCCAAAGAGAAGGTACATTTCTTTCTCTTTGCTTTCCTCCAGTGGTAGAGAAGTTGGTCTTTTTGCCACCAGGGGTGGAATGATCTTAAAACAGGAGTTGAGGTACTTAGTTTAAAAAAAAAAAAAAAAAAAATATATAAATATATATATGTATATGTATATATATGTATATACATATATATATTTAAAGTTTTTTTATTGCTTATTAGAAACTGTTACACTAGGAGCATATTATGGTCTTCCTTCTGTCTGGTCTTTGCCTCTTTGTTTTCTCAGTTGGTTCCCGCACTGTTTGAGACTCACTCCACTTACCACACATTCCAGGCTTTTAGTTTTAAAAGATCCTAAAGGTTTGAAATCTAGAGAATCCATTTATGTGACCCATATGGCTTTTACTATGATTACAGATTAAACATGACACGTACATTTCTCCATAATGCTCTCCTATAAGCTTTTGAAATGGTCTCAAAGTTTTTTTATACTAACCATACATTTTTTGTTCTGCAAATCATTGGTATATATGTGGATAAAGCATAAAAGACCATGGACATTTTCCTGATGGAATTATTTCCTGATGGGAATTATTTCATGGCTACTGTAGTGGAATCTTTTAAAAGGCAATATTATAAATTAATACACACTCTACCATTACTACTGAAACCACTACCTTCCAAATCTATAAGACATTGGTTGTATTTTCTCAAAGATTGGCTTGTAACACATTTTACTTAACCTGATTTTATGATATTCTAGTAGAAATGTCCCAGATAACAGTAATCATCGAGGTCTCAAAGAAGTGTAGTAGTATATTAACTTGATTTATCTGACACTTTTTATTAGAAGTTTTACTTGCCTATAGGCTAATTTCTTTTGGGTTTGGGGTATGTATTCATTTGCATGGCAGTGTTTTGGATACATGAAGTTAAAACTCATTTCACGATCTGCTCTGAAGTATCTAGGCCAGTATGTAGGGTTTTTCGAAATTGTTGGAGATTACTGAAAATTGTGGTTAAACACGGTTAATATTCTGTATTCATATCTTAGCATACTTCTACATATTGGCAAAGAGGATGTTTTGGGCAGCAGTAACCTATGCAAATGGGCTTGTCCTCTGGCAGTGAGTTAGCAGTTCTTTTGTATATACAGCTAATTAATGGAATCAATAACTTCATTTGATATTTACTTAAATTGAACTTTTTGTTTTTAATGTTTATTTTATTTTTTGAGAGAGAGAGAGAGGCAGAGACAGAGTGTGAGCAGGGGAGGGGCCGAGAGAGAGGGAGACACAGAATCCAAAATCCAGGCTGACAGCACAGAGCCCAATGCGGCGCTCAAACTCATGAACGGTGAGATCATGACCTGAGCCGAAGTTGGATGCTTAACCAAATGAGCCACCCAGGCACCCCACTTAAATTGAACTTAATAACACATTTATGAGATATAATTAATGTGCCATCCAATTCACCTATTTAAGATGAACAAGTTGGGTTTCTAGTATATTCACAGAGTTATGCAACCGTAATTACAATAATTTTGGAACATGTTCATCCCTCCAGAAAGAAACCCCATACCCATTATCAGTCATTTTCATTTCCCTTTAACTCCTCTTCCCCCACCCTAGGAAACCACAGACCTACTTTCCGCCACTAGATTTGCTTATGCCGAACCTTTCATATTGATACTCTTACGTAATATTTATATAATACGTTGTGTGGTTTTTGTTTTACTTATTTATTTTTTTTTTATGTTTATTTATTTTTGAGAGACAGAGTGTGAGTGGGAGAGGGGCAGAGGCAGAGGGAGACACAGAATCTGAAGCAAGCTCCAGGCTCTGAGCTGTCAGTGCAGAGCATGACACGGGGCTCGAACCCACAAACCACTTAACTGACTGAGCCACCCGGGCACCCCATTCATTTTCTTTTCTAAGTAGGCTCCATGCTGAGTGTGGAGCCCAGTGAGGGGCTTGAACTACAATCCTGAGGTCAAGACCTGAGCTGAGATCAAGAGTTAGATGCTTAACCAACTGAGCCACCCAGGTGCCCCAATATGTTGTATTTTGTATCCAGTTTCTTTCACTTAGCATGATGTTTTCTAGGTTCATCCATGTTGAAGCATGTATCAGTCAGTACTTCCTTACTTTTTATTGCCAAAATTTTGTTTTTAAGGTTATTTTGGTATTCCCCCTCCCCCCTAATTCTGTTCTTCCCATTTCAATGTTGAATAAGCCCTAAGGTCTATAGTCATAATTATTATGATTTCATAGAGTAAACCAGTTCACTTCTGTAAGCCACAAAGCAGTCCTCGGCATGCTTTAGAGCATTTCACAGTTGACCTGTTTGTCACAAGAGTTTGTATTTTTTTTTAAATATGTGTTCAGAAAATGTGATCTTAACTACTGCCAGTGGCAAGCCCAGCTGAATGAGGCATATCATTGTGACTGCAATTAGTCCCTTTCAGTATAGTTTATATCAGTAGCTTTTTTTCCCTTTTTTTCTTTTTTTACATCTAAAAAAGTTTAGGCCATTTCTCTATGCTTTCATTAGTTGTTCTTCACTAGGAAGTACCAGTATGTTACCAGAAATAGAATTCTTGGGGCTCCCATCACATTAGATTTGTAAATGTCAAATTGCATGAAAGATGAAGTTCTGTATGTAGATATTCAGGATTTACATACTTTATTAATCTTTCTTTTTTGAAATTTTTTAATATGCGTCTTCTTCAGGACCCTTCGAAAGATGCCACGTGCAAAAGGTTAGTATACGTTCCCTGGACTTCCTTATGTTCAACTTAATATCTGGCCAGAGGTTCTTCCATAAATATACATGTATAACATAACTTAAGAGTACGGTTTGACTCAGGTACATACAGCACAGCGAATACAGTCCGGTATTCAAGTATTGAATACAGTATTGAAGAATACAGTACACAAGTATTGTGAAACCTTGTACGTTGTACAGAAACAGACGGCAGCTCCGCTGTGGGGAGCACAGTGGAAGTATAAACTTGTTGAGTCACTGTGTTGTGCATCTGAAACTAATGTAACATCGTGTTACTATATTTCAGGTACATGTTAACTATATTTCAATTAAGAAAAAGAGGACAGTTAACAACTATTTTTTGGCCAAAATTACTGCACATTCAGTAGTTCCTTACCATTAGCAAAATTAACTTTTACAGTTTCAGTCATTTAGAGTAATCTCAAAAGTTTGTGCCTTGAGTAATTTTTAAATCATGTTGTGACATAAATTGGGATCACATTCAGCGAGAGGCCAATATGCAAGGACAAGTAACTGCTGGTAAGTCAAGCCAACGGTCCGTGCTGCTCAGCCCAGCTATGCAACTTCTACTTGAAACTTAATCACATTTAATCCCCACAACTGCTCTGTAAGGTGGGTGCTATTATTGCATTTTATAGAAGAAAAAAATTATGTATTGCATGCATATTCAGGAATTTGGTTTCTTTCAAAGGATTACTTACGAATATCCCTTGCGGTCATTTTAGTAATATAATAGTATGAACTCTGAAAGGTATATTTTTGTCATCCCTTAAATGCCCTTGAAATGACTGGAATCCTTGGCTTGTAAAAAAATCTTTATAGAGATTATATAGATCTGTTTCATCTTTCTGAGCTTCTACTTAAAACACTTCAGAGAGAGAGAGATGTGGTTGTTTTCCCCCTATAAAAGTATTGCCTCTTTTTTATTTGGGGTGATGGACAAAGAATGTAAGAAATTTAAACTTAAAGGAAACTATTAGTAAATTCAGCTTCTTTAATATTAAGGTCTTATGCTCAGCCAGCTACTCTGTAGAGAATTTGAAAACACAAGCCATAAACTTGCAATCGATTTGGGCTACACATAACACTCGTTAAGAATTATTATGCAGAATACAAAAGGAATTCCTACAAATCAATTAAAAAATAATGTAGTAGAATATGAGAAAAAGGCTTAAACAGGCACCTTAGAGAAGAAACAAATGTAGACACACACAAAAAAAGGTTTAATTTCATTTGTTATCAGAGAGATACAAATTAAAATCTTAAGGTATGTATTTCACAGCTACCAGATTGGCAAAAATTGAGAATTCTGAAAATAAGAGGAGCTGTTGAGGAAGTGGATCACCAAGGTTCTTAGACCCTCTTAGGGGAGTGTAAGTGGGTACAGTCACTTTGGAAAAGAATTTGGCATTATCTAGTAAATTGGACGGTATGAATAACTTTTGACCCAGCAATTCCATATCTAGGGATATACTCGAGAGAAATGTGTGCGCAAGTATACCAGGAAACACATAGTAGAATGTTCGTAAGGGCATTATTCAAGATAGTAATATACTGGAAGCAACCCAAATAACCATTCCTTAATAAAATGAATGAATCCATTCTGGTATATTCATAAAGTGGAATACTACAAAGTAATAAAAACAAATGAGTCACAACTACATGCAGCAACCTGAGCGACTCTCCAAAAGAGAGTTCTGTCTAATGGCTAAGACGTTACTGTTGAACTCTTTGGGTTCAGCATAAATCCATTTGCTCTGCTTCTATGCCCAGTGACAGTTAAGTATTACAAAACATTATATGGGGATTGGCGGTCAACCATTTTCAGTCTTTTGTACTGAAGAATGTCTCTTCGGTGTTTTCTCAAGGAGCCTACTTTAAAACTTTTTTGTGTCCTGTGGTGGTTCTCCAAGATACCTGAACTGATTACCTTTGTGGGGACATGACTGCAGAGTCCCCATGTGCCATATTGCTGTTGTACATGCCAACTCGCTTGCTTTCCTTTTTTTACACAAAGCTACTCGGCCGACATTCTAAACTTCTCTGGAGCAGCTTTGTGCCATTCTGAAATGTACAAAGCACTAGGCATGTTTAGGCAAGGAGAAGCAGTTTTATTATTGAACCTCAGCTGGTTTTATTGGCTTAAAAACCTTTTAATACCAAGGCCGCATATGTCTTAGTAAGAGGGGCATGCAGGTCATTTGGATCGTGGAAGAACTACACCTTAAAAGTAAGAGTGCTAGTAAGCTGTACTAGAGAAGAATTATTTTAAGGAGAGTGATGACTGTCCTGAAATTCCTAAGGAAAGTCTCTTACAGGCCTTCTCAAGCCGACTGTCTTTTAAAGTTTTTAGTCCCGTGTGGGTGTGTATCCTTATTAGTGTCCAGACTTAACTAGAGATTAAGTGCATTGATTGGAATCAGGAATCCATCACTAACTTCGCTTCGTGATTTTGGGTGCCAAGCTTGTATTTCCTACGTATACAGCGGGTCTAATAGTATCTATTTCTTCAGGCTGTCATGAGGATTAAATGTAGAAAATACAGATGAGATAGATATCACTTTGCCAATAGTTGTATTAGATGGTACTGCTTCTAAATTTATAGTTATATGTATAAAATGGTAGCTTTTTTCCTGTTGAAAAATGTTAATTGTAGAATATGTGAAAAACAAAATACAAATAAGGTATTTTTTTGAAGATTTTTTTATTTATTTTGAGAGAAAGAGAGAGAGCATGAGCAGGGGAGAGGCAGAGAGAGAGGGAGAGAAGGAGAATCCCATGCAGGCTTTGCACTGTGGAGCTCGAACTCACGAACTGTGAGACCTGAGCTGAAATCAAGAGTCAGACGCTTAACCGACTGAGCTACTTAGGCACCCCCAAACAAGAAAAATTTAAGCCATCCCTAATCTCATAACCCAGAAATAAGTGCTATGTGTCTTTATAAAAACACATATAGAGGTGTGTATACAGGCATATATTTTTAGTATCATACTACACATTCTGGTTTTTACCTTTTAAAAATTGTTTAATATTGGGGCACGTGAGTGGCTCAGTCAGTGAAGCATCTGACTTCAGCTCAGGTCGTGATCTCGCGGTTCTCGGGTTCGAGCCCAGTGTCGGGCTCTGTGCTGACAGCTCAGAGCCTGGAGCCTGCTTCAGATTTATCTCCTTCTCTCTCTCTACTCCTCCCCTGCTCTCCGTCTCTTAAAAATAAATGTTAAAAAAATTTTTTTTAATTGTTTAATATTGTCATGCCAATGCAAATTTTTATTTATTTATTTATTTTGCTACTTGGGTGATAAAAGCAGTTAAACTTCAGAGAAAGACAAATATATGATTTCACTCATATGTGGAATTTGAGAAACAAAACATGAACATAGTGGAAAGGAAGGAAAAATAAGATAAAAAAAAAGCAAACCGTAGGCTCTTTTTTTTTTTAATTTTTTTTTTTTTTAATATTTATCCTTGAAGGAGAGAGAGACAGAGTGTGAGTGGGGCGGGGGCAGAGAGAGAGGGAAACACAGAATCTGAAGCAGGCTCCAGGCTCTGAGCTGTCAGCACAGAGCTCGACACGGGACTCGAACCCACAAACCATGAGATCATGACCTGAGCTGAAGTTGGATGCTCAACCGATTGAGCCACCCAGGCGCCCCATAAACCGTAGAGAGTCCTAATGATAGAGAACAAACTATGGCTTGATGGAGGGAGGTGGGTGGGGGATGGGCTGAATGGGTGATGGGGATTAAGGAGGGCACTTGTGATGAGCACTAGGTGTTACATGTTAGTGATAAATCACTAAATTCTACTCCTGAAACTGGTATTATACTATATGTTAACTAACTGGAACTTACATAAAATCTTGGAAGAAAAAAAAAGTAGTTAAACTTCCCAAAGTAAATCGAAATTCTTTGCTCATGAAAATATTAAAATGTGGATGTTGAAAGATAGCAAATATTTGGTATCAAGTGTTCACGGCTTCGTTGCTTTCCCCCCACTTCTAGTTGCTGGTCATACTGGATTTTGCCCATCATAGGCGCTATTGTCTTAGGTTTCCTGTATCGTTACTACACGTCGGAAAGCAAATCCTCCTGAGGAGACAGCGTGGAAGTTGGAAAGCATATCCATTGGGAGTGCGAGCTAGAGACTTGTTTGGAGGCCAAGCGATACCCTCTTCTCGAATCCTGCCGGATGTGTGCTTCCCCCTTGGAACCCAGATGGTTGGCTAGACATCCACCCCAGACCTGGGGCCAGTGTCCTTCATTTCCCAGAGCCTTACTCCCAAAGCACCTGCTCGTTGTCCTGTGTCCCTGCCGGTGGCCCTTCTCTCCACTGGCTTCCACCAGCCCCCTTTGCATTTCCAGACTTGGTTTTATAATTACAATCCAGATGTCCTTGTGACATTGTCCTTTGGTAAAAATGCCTGGTTTCCAATACTTTGCACATTAGACATTCTTAACAGGGCAACACTCTGGTTTTGAAGCTTTTCTTTTTCCATTTTTTTTTGAAGTATATATATATATATATATATATATATATATATATACAAACACATATATACTTATATATATGTATATATGTGTGTGTGTATATATACTTAATTCTATTATTTATCATAAGGGATTTAATTAATGAAGTAAAGTTGTGCACCTATAGCATAAAACACAACTGCCAAATGATCTCGTTCCTTTTTATTTATTAAAACTAGGAAGAACCATGAAATCCTCTCCTCCCTCCTAAGCTAGTCTAGCAGGTAACTCTCACCACCCCCCAAGTCCAAGTGGTGCTGGGCAGAACTGTGCTTCCGTTGCATTTCTTGGGAGTGGAGAGAAAGAGGGGAGGGGAGAGATGAATTGGGGTGATAGGGTAAATTTGTAGTCCTCTTTCTTTTGAAAAATGCTGAAAACACTACTTTAGGACAGGAGTTTAGGAAAAGCACCAAAGACTTCATTTTTTTTTTTCCACACTTCATTCTTTGCTTTGGTTTGACACCAGTTTCTAGCCGTCTTTTTTCTTTTTCCCCCCAACCAACCATCTTTTATTGGTAAAATACAAATTTATAATTGTATCTGTAGAACTTCACTAGGGATTTCTGCTTTTAAATGTATTGATTAGCAAATTTTTTTATTCCTTCCCTGTTTTACAAAAGAGACTCCACTTGCTCTAAGATCCAGTATTTGATCTTTTGTTTGTTAGCCCCAGTAACATAACTTCCATAGTGCAGTGGCATTCGAAAGGGGGAGATCATGACAAAAGAATGTTTCCCATTTCATCTATATTTTATCTTCATGGCTCCAATTTGTGGTTTTGTTGTTTTTCTGTTGAGGAAAAAAGAAAGAAAAAAACAACAACTAGTCGTTTTATCCCTTGGATGAATGTTTAATTGAATAGTAGGTCATTATTTAGAATTCTGTTAGGGTTTCTTCTTGGTTCAGGAATTTTCTCTGGCTTATTTGACCTAACTTTTTCCCCCCGTGGAATCACCTGAGGACACAGTACACTGGCTGTTTTCTGCCAACAACTGTTTGTGGTGATTTTTCTCCCAATCTTCTAAGGATTACCAGTTTGCTTCTGAGCCATTGTCCTATGTAGCAGGGAGCAACTTGGTTCCAGAAGGACCATGGATACTGCTGTCTCCTCCCCACTTACAGCTTGCCATGGACAGCAAAGTGCCGTGCAAGGCAGTGTCTGCCCATGCAAACTAAGAAAAGGTTCAACCCAAGTCTTGCAGTTGAGTGTATTCAGAATTCATCAAAAGAATATTAACCTTGTATTTGTACACTTGGATATGATATTATGGAGAAATTTCAGGGGATTTTTGAGAGACTTTTATATATCAGGGATATGGGAATAGTCAAACTTTTATCTTTAGAAAATTTTGTATAAGATGCCACTTTTAGACAATTTATTGAAAAAAACCTTTGGTTATTATGGAACAGAAGTGGTGTGACTGTTGATGCTCCTGCCATTTGAAGGCGTACGGAAGGGTTGCCTTGAATATGAATTGGTATCTAATTGCTGTAATAATTAAGCTGCATGATTACATGGGCCACATTGGGGTAGAAATAAAGAACAAAGGAGTATTGAGGAACTGGACGGGGAACATTTAGGCTGAAACTAAACCAGCAGATAAGTTGGATCAATTAGGAGTATGTTGGCAGTCTGTAAAATTAAATGAAAAACATCTGGCTTATAAGAAATGTTAAAGAGTGACAGCCTTAAGTAAAATTGGTGGGGTTTTTTTTTTTTTGGATATTTTTAGGGTGAACACCAACACAAAAGGTATGTTTTTCTATTTCATATTGGTTGTCTTTTCCTGTTTATATCTGGACTTGTTTTTACTCAGAGCCAGAGGAAAAGGTTTTCAGACCTTGTCTCTACCATCCGTGAAATCCATCCAACACCCAGGGCTTCTTTTGATCTGCTGCTAATGTGATGTCACTTTGTATTATAAAAACCACTTTTGGGTCCATTTACTGTTATTCTGCTGCCTACATCAACAGTCAGGCGAAAGGTAAAGCTAGTGTGTGAGTTTGCAGAGGTTTTTCTAAACTATCAGATAATACAATATGTTAGCCAAACCCACCAGAAAAGCCTTGTTTGCAGAGGTAGGACTCAAATTCTCGAAACAGTTTCAACATTGGTAGGTGGTGCAAACCCCTTTGGAGAGCAAGTGGAGCCGGTCCCTGTCGGCTGAGGGTGCCCCCTAGAGCTGGTCTCTGGGGTGTTGGGTTGTTTATTCCCAGGGAAGACACAAGATGTCTGGAGGTCACGAAAGGAGAGGAGGGAAAACGGGTGCCACCAAAACAGGCATGTCCGTGCCAGGTCTCCAAAATTTCTTAGTCCCTGTCCCTCAGGAATCGGTTTTGGTTTCTAAATGACTCCACATTTGTAAGGACAAGAAAGTGGTGGTGACAAAATTGATAGTGTTTAGTTCTTATGCGACCCCTAAAGCAGAAGCAAAAATCCACGGGAACCTACAGTTTGAGCCTGTAAAGTTCTTTGGGCAATTGTCGTAAATGCCCAAGTTGTGAGATAAGAGCGTCGTTGAGTTTATGCTCATTTAGTCCCGGCGTGGAGCAACGAGAAATGCTCTGTGGGCCAGGCATATCATTACGCACGGTGTCTCGGGCTTCACATCTCAAGAGATTATCTGGTTAGATTCCATTTTAGGAGACTGAAATGCAGAACGTTAACGTTCATAACTTCCTTCCCTGGGAGAAGTGGATTCAGACATGTCTTGTCTCAACAAGAGATTGGTGGTTTTTTTTGTTTTTTTGTTTTTTTTTTTAAGCCATCTCATTCTGTTGCCAAATATCACAGAACGAATGGGGAGTTTACTTCACATTTGGCTGTTATTCTCTGAAAGGGCCTGGTTTGGAATTTGTGGGGGTGATTTCAGAGGGAGATTCCGGTAACCCGAGTTACCAACCCAGTATCTAGCATCTTACTCATGAATTTTAGGAGCTGTACTTTTCCTGTACCTATATCCAACATGTGCTAGTTGGGTAAAATATGATTATTTAGCTTCCTTTCTTTTTACTTCACCCTCAACTGTGAACGAGTAATATTAACATTCTTTTTGTGTATTCAGTAATGGAGTTTGTTTACCTATTTTATTTCAGCATATTTTGAACAAAGATCTTTGTCTCTTTCTGCTGGAATGTGCACACAGTGAATGTTTGTTAGAACCACACACAATAAAGATACTGTTTTCCTTTTCTTGCCCTGACTATAGTTATTATTATTATTTTTTTTTTAAAGCAGAAGTGTTGGCTCTGTTATCCTCAGGTGTTCTGAAGAAAAGATTCTGAGAAGCATAAAAGTCACCTGTATCTATGCAAATAATTGTGTTTAGTGTAACTTGATGGGGAGTTCTGTGGTTCTTCAGGATTCTTTCTGCTACTCTTTCTTTGAAGTGAGTTGCTCAGTTGATAATCACGAGAGGCAAAAATGAAGACTTGCGCTGTATTAATGGATATGAAGTGGCAACCAGGTAGACCAGTTGGAAGTTCTGTTTTTACTGAAACCATCTGGTAAAGAGAAGCCAGTACAAGGTAATAATATTTTGTTATCTGCAACGCCAGTCTTCAAATGATTGTTTTTCTTGGAAATAGCTAAACTGTTGGGGAAAATTAAACATTGAGATTGAAGTTCTAGCGAGTGTGTTAATTAAACAAGGGAAATAAACAATTTTTATAATTACCTTTAAAACATACTGATAGCCTTCTAACACTACTAATGAGACATCGTTCATTAGGGCTTGGTTATTTCACTCTCACGTGAATTAGTAACAGGAAAGGATAGTCCCATTCTTATTATTAGTGTTTGAATCTAATGTTTAATCTCCAATCCTAGTAATTCATATGACTGCAGTCTTCATGATGCTGAGTATTTGGTAGGTAATTGACAAATCCTGGTTGGTTCCTAAAAACCTGAAGTAGAAGATTGTGATTCCAATTATGTAAATTTAAGGTAAGAAATACCCACACAATCTACTAAACTGTTGGTAATTGTAGGTATTGTTGGTAACCTAACGTTAATTAGCTTAATAGGTGTCTGTATTTAAAGGAACACTCAGCTAAATCACATATTTTCTAGTGCTCAACAAACTTAATTTTTTTTTTAAGATTTTTTTTTTTTTAAAGTGGTTTCTGCACCCAACCTGAGGCTTGAACTCACAATCTTGAGACCAAGAGTTGCATGTTCCACCAACTGTGCCAGCCAGGTGCCCCTAAAAAACTTTCTTTTATAAAGCATCCAGGAGAGATGAGAGTTGCTGTCAGATAAAACATGAGGATAGAGCTGTAATCCTATTTATCATTTATCTTCCATATACTGTGTGCCTTGCAGTACCTTTGATGGCATTTTGGATCCTTGCCCTTACAGTATCCTATCCTTACACCGTAGATGGGGATGTCCACATTTTACCAGTGACTTGACTTGCTTGAGGCCACACAACCCTAAACTTTCCATGTTCTTTGTTGAAGGTTCTCAGATAAAAATTCAGCTTCAGCTGTACCAAAATGAATAATGTGCTTGGTGTATCTGCTGCTAGTCTTTCTATACAGGTGTTTCTGTGTGTGCTCAATGAAATGCCATCAATAATAATCATTTTCTGAATTAGTAGATTACTAAAAAATGGGCATGGTCTTAGGAGTCCCTGAAAAATCTTGGTTGTTGAAGAGAATCCTGTTGCTTCAGTGGAAACAATATATTTAAAATGATTCTCATATCCCTTGCAAAACAGCTTCTTTTTTTAATTTATTTTTATTTTTATTTTATTATTATTTTTTAATTTACATCCAATTTAGTTAGCATATAGTGCAACAATGATTTCAGGAGTAGATTCCTTAGTGCCCCTTTCCCATTTAGCCCATCCCCCCTCCCACACCCTCTCCAGTAACCCTCAGTTCTCCATATTTATGAGTCTCTTCTGTTTTGTCCCCCTCCCTGTTTTTATATTATTTTTGTTTCCCTTCACTTGTGTTCATCTGTTTTGTCTCTTAAGGTCCTCATATGAGTGAAGTCATGATTTTTGTCTTTCTCTGACTGAGTAATTTCACTTAGCATAATACCCTCCAGTTCCACCCACGTAGTTGCAAATGGCAGGATTTCATTCTTTTTGATTGTCGAGTAATACTCCATTGTATATATACACCACATCTTCTTTATCCATTCATCCATCGATGGACATTTGGGCTCTTTCCATACTTTGGCTATTGTGGATAGTGCTGCTATAAACCTGGGGGTGCATGTGTCCCTTTGAAACAGCACACCTGTATCCCTTGGATAAATGCCTAGTAGTGCAATTGCTGGGTCATAGGGTAGTTCTATTTTTAGTTTTTGGAGGAACCTCCATACTGTTTTCCAGAGTGGCTCACCAGCTTGCATTCCCAGCAAAACAGCTTCTTGAAAGCAGTTAATGAGAATTTAGATTTTTACTATGTTACTAGAAAAAATTTGTTTTAATGTTTTATTTATTTATTTTTTTGAGACAGAGTGCACGTGAGTGGGGAGAGGTAGGGAGAGGGGACAGAGGATCCCAAGGGGGCTCTGTGCTGACAGGCTGACAACACAGAGCCCAGGGCTCAAACTGACGAACTGCAACATCATGACCTGAGCTGGATGCTTAACTGACTGAGCCACCCAGGTGCCCCAGAAACAACTTTTGATCAAAGGCAATCAATAAAAGAAAGTTGAGGACTATTGATGAAATCTTTAGGTGGCATAGTTGAGAAGCTCTTGCATGACTTCACCTGTCCCATCACTCAGTCTAGGACCCTTGATAAGATTTAACGTGGAAACACATAGGTAAATTTATAGTTTTTAAATGAGAAGTGATTGGTAATTGGTTGGCTTGAACTTAGCCTCATCTCTACAAATCATGTGGACATCTGAGAAGTGGAAATCCTGTACTTCGTGCCATGTACCATAAGATTTGGACACGGTCATTTCCAGTTTTTGAGACTGTTACATCCTAAAAAGATAATTCAAGCTGAAGTGTGATCAAAAGAGGCACAACATAGCGCAAATAACAAATGCTGTTTGCTACAAGTGTGACATGGCATTTTTTATTCATCAGTGCCAGCCCCTCGTTTGCTCCTGGCCCTAATCTCTGTACTCAAACACTGAGGTTAACTTTATTTTTATTTTTTGTTTTAAAGTTTTATTTATTTAAGTATTTTCTACACGCCACATGGGGCTCGAGCCCACAACCCTGAAATCAAGAGTCGCACGTTCTTCCAACTGAGCCATCCAGGCGCCCCACATTGGTGTTAACTTTAGCACTACGTGGACCCGGAAAGAGAAAAAAAAGTAAAAAACCAGGTGCTTGAATTTCACTTTTCCTTAGAGAATCTTGCTTTTGGGGTTTTGTCTTTCTAGTTTCCTCATCTGAGTTTTTCAGAAAGGAGAGGTGGCATCTCCTTACAGAACAGCAGATGGTGTCCAGGGTAAAAATGAAGCTTCTCATGAATCTGCCCACTGATTTAACTACCCAAGAAGTCTGATAATCAGGAACAAATAGAGAAATGGGGGATGCTACATCCTGAACGGCACAGGAAACAGCTCTCCAAGACTCCATTTGACACCCTTTCTTCCCTGAATCCTTTAAATTTGTTTTTTTGTTTTGTTTTTCTTTAGCTCTCATCCTAACCCCTGCCCTGCCCTGCACTGAACTACTTTGCCTTATGTTTCACCGACAAATTACAAGATAACACTTCAACTATGCTTCTCTTCATTTTAAAGTATTGTGGTACAGGGGCGCCTGGATGACTCAGTCAGTTGAGTGTTCCATTCTTGATTTCAGCTCAGGTCATGATCCCAGGGTTGTGAGATCCAGCCCTGCATTGGGCTCCATGCTGAGCGTGGAACTTGCTTGGGATTCTTTCTCTGCTTCTCTTTCCCGTTCGCATGCATGCATGCACACTCTAAAAATAAATAAATAAGTAAGTAAGTAAGTAACACAAAAATGTACCATTTAATCTGTCCTAGAAAACATTTGGAAGAAATAGAGCTGATTTGTTTATGATCTGTACCATCCATGTAAACTAGCGCAGATCTCTTTGAACATCTTTGTTGACCTTCGTTTAAGGCTAAATTCTACCTCTGGACTTTTTGTGTATGGGTCCATAAATTTTCTTTTTGTCTTAAGCTAGTTCAAATGTGTTTTGGTTTCTTTTTAAGATTTTATTTTTAAGTAATCTCTATACCCAATGTGGGGCCCAAACTCATAACGCCAAGATGAAAGAGTTGCATGCTTTACTGACCACTATGGCCTCTGCGATTTATCTGACCTTAAATGCCTGCCTTGGTAATGATGTCTTGGTAAGGATTCTGCCTCTCCACGTGTACCCAGGTTCCCCTAGGGCAGAAACTCACTTTTTATTCTGTGCTAAGTCTACATATTTTTACAAAGAAGAAATATTCATTTTAAAAAAAGATACACATTATTTTTTCCATAGAATAAGATAGAGAAACCGATTTAAGCTGACATAGGCAGAAGGGAACTTACTTGTTATGAATCAGTTACAAGTATTTGATGGAACTCAAGGTTGGAAGCATAGCTGGACCTCAGAGGAGGAACTAGGACTAGGAATCCAAAGATCAATAGGAATCAGGGTGGCTACGTTAGTTTCCAGTCCAAATGCCTAATGGGAATTAATTCCTAGAAGTGAGAATGTAGTCGGCCAGATAGTATCACAGTGTCTACTTCTAGTCCCATCAAGGGCATGGGGACACAGGGTTGAATGGGAGGGGGATCACAAGGGAAGCAGTTCCTCAAGGCAGACACTGTAATCACACACACTGTGTGTGTGTGTGTGTGTGTGTGTGTGTGTGTGTGTGTGTGTGCGCGCGCGCGTGTGTGCATTCAAGTTCTTTGGTAATGGACCATCTGTGCTCTGAAGGCAGGGTCTTCCGCATCCCTCAGGGTGCCCGTGTTAAGCCGGGCCATAGGGCGGGCTAAGTACATTGAGTATGATTTATCATGCTGTGTCTGAATGAACAACCATAGCCAAATTTGTTGAAGAACTATCTAGGACTCCCAAGTTGAGTTTTGAGGTGAATCCCAATATTGCCTACGCCACTAACAACCAAAAACCCCGTTCACCCCTGCATGCCCGCAAACCATCCTGTTTTCTCTGTAAATAGATTCAGCTGCCAGTATTTATTAGTTTCCTGTAAATATTTTAAGTTTTATTTTTTAGAACAGTTTTAAATTTACAGAAA